GAAGGGCTGCCCTCTGCTCGGGCTCCGGGGAAGAGCCCTGTGGACCATCACATCACATCTCTGTGATTCTAGACTATGCATTTTTCATTCCTTTGCCACCTTGCTCTCTGTAAAGTGATTATTTGCCCTGTGGTCACTTAAGGAGGGGAAATGTAGGGAAATGGGATAAGTTGTAATTCCGCTAATCAAAGAAGCCATTGACATTTCCTTGGGGAACAGCTGGGCAAAACTGTGTAGTGACTTGGCAAGCCATTGCTGTGCTGGGTCTCAGTAGCCAAGGGGGTGAATTCTTTTTGTGACAAGCCCCCCAATCTGCTCAGGTCCTTCCGAAGTACTCTCAGAGTCAGGTCAACAAAACGACTGCTCGACTCGTCTCGCTCGACTTGAAGGCCCGCACACATGACACTTGTGTACTTCCTTCAACAGCTAACACCTTGATGGACACACAGTTTCTGTAACACCCCACTGGCTTTATCGCCAGATACAGCACACACACGCCAACCTCCTGGATGTGGCCATAAGGTAGCATTTTTGTTAAACCAGTGAGGTCACTCCAAAAACCTGTGAGGTTAATTACCATGGTTGGCAGATGCAGAAAGTTAGGCAATGTGCGGAATCAGGAAACTACAGGTGTGGTAGCTGCCCACAACCCGTTCCCCTAACCCCTCATCTTCAGACATCAATGCCACCCTAGGTGCTGTGATTGGCAGTGAGGAGAGAGAGAAAGGGGATTAGGACCTAAACGACATAATATGGATGAGTCAACTGCTCTGTCTCAGCACCAACAAAAGTGCCACAAAATTACGGTGCCTCTTCCCCCAAGTTAACATTTCAAATGGCCGCCTGGGGAAGGAATGCTGTGTTTGGATCGTTAGCAAAATATGCTAAGAGGGTGAATGTGAGGAGGACATGCAAGGCGGTGGTCTGGATCTGAACCAAAACAGTTAAATCCCAGCAGTAAGGAACATTTTCTGTGATACCAGAAATATAGTCTTTCTTCCTTCCCACCTGAAGCTTTCCACAACACCTGCAATTACAAAAACAAAAGGTACAGATGCCCTCGTTATTATCTGCTAGAAAGAAGTCGGAAACAATTATGGAGGCAGGGAGAGACATCCATCGGCTGCCCTGTAAGAGGCCAGCAGGTTTGTGGGCATCATGACTTTGCTGGCAACTCTGATTACAGCTGGCTGGAATAAACAGTAAGAAAAGCCATTATCCACATGGGTCTGAAGGCTTGGAGGGAACATGTCCTCTTAGCTGCCAAGGAAGAGGTTGTCCGATGAGGCGAAAAGCACACCTGGCCTCCCAGCATGCTACGACTGGACGCCTGGACAGTAGGAATGGGGGCTGAGCTGGCAGAGACTCGGGTCACTGGACAGGAAAAGTAATCCATCGCTCCTTCCATCCCTGGACATCACGCTGCACCCTGGCTGGCAGGACACTCCTGCTGTCTCCCCCCCAATCCTCAGCCTCCAAGGACTAGCTCAAATCTCACCTCTTCTGTGAAGCCACAGCTCCTCCCAAACGTGCCCTGGATTCCGTGTGGTTTTCTAACTGCTTCAGGTTTGTATCACTTCTCCGAGACTGTACGAGCCATGACTTACATCCTTAATTCCCTCACAGCCACCTGCATAGGGCTAGATGCTTGTAGCAGGACAGCCAGATACCATGAAGGCAAGAAAATCTTCTCATTCTACATGAAGTTCATGCGACACCACAAAGCTAAAACCCTCTCCCCACTCCTCTTCTACCCTATAAAATAGATCATTTTGTCCTGTGACAGAAAAACCGGTAGGAGTGTGGGTGACACACACTGTCACTCTGATTTCACAGTGAGGCTGCAAGCGAGCTCAATGGGTGAATCGGAGGCGACAGGCCTGTGCAGGGGCCTCTGCCTGAAGTATGGGCTGTCGTTAACCATGTCAGACCCACGGGCTTTTCTCCTCTCCCTGATGCTTTCCAAGTGAGTCACACCCCTGCAAGTCACTTGTCCTACTATTCAATAATTCACTCTATTAGAAAGTTCTTGGTGAAACGAGTGGCTCTTTACCTACTGACATGGGTCCCCAAGGTTCCACCTGCCTTAGAATATCATTTGTCACATCCTCCCCTGCTTCTTCTCACCTGGCTTGATACAGCCCCAACGTTCACGCCTCCCACTTGACAAGCCCACCTTGAGCACCAATTATACATCACACACAAAGATGAGCTGGGTTTCTCTGCTCATCTCCGGGCCTCCGCAATGTGCAGCACAGGTATGGCTGGAAGGACCTGGGATCCCCAAGTGTCTTATACAAGGACCCTCAACAGTTTAAGACACATCAGGATTTCACAAAAACAAAGCTGGATATTTCTGGTATAGACATGTTCTACCCACATAATGATGCCTGTAGGGATGTAGCTTCTTGCTCATATCCGAATGAGTAATAAACATTTTATTAAATGTTTAAACGCCTGGCACTAGGCTGAGAACTTTAAATGCATTATCTCAATTCATCACAACCACCTATGAAGTAAGTATGCTCATTCCACTTAATGATAAGAGAACACAGGCTCAGAGAGATTAATGTACTTGCCCGAGGTCACCCAGTTAAGAAGTATGGGAGCTGACGGTAGAGTCTGGGCCTGACGCCAAAGCCCAAGGGTTGACTCAGCAGGCTCCCTTAGCTCTAGCCCAGGCCAAATTCCGTAGTCTGGACTTTACTTACAAGTTGGAGACAGCTGGGAGCAATTATACATCAGGCCTTGGGTCTGGGCCCAGCCCCAGAGGGTGAACCACAGGACTCTGCCCTATCTCTTCCTCCTCTGATAAACCTCTGCTTGGACAGCAATGCCTCACTGATGTGGGCAGGAAGGTGCTTGGCAAGAACCACCCAGTGGGGCAGAGGAAGGGTGGCTCCGGTTCTAACTCATCCACCAACCAGCTGGTGACCCTGAGAAGCTCACTTCCTTCTCTGGGTCTCATTTGTGAAAGTACATTTAAATCACGATGTGCCCCTAGCTATATATAAAACTGATATAAGGTCATGCCACCATGCCCTTCCTAGTACAAACTGCCGTCTTATATTTTCTGTCGCAAGTTACTTCATTAAAAAAAAACAAGGTGTTGGTCACAACCCACTAAATTGACTTCCTAACCCACTAATGGGTTGCAATGCAGTTTTCAGAAATGATGCACTAAAGATGGTGGATGAGAAAGAAGCCTTCTTGGGAGCCCAGTAGACAGAAGGGGCAGGAGCGGAGCCCGGCTGCATGAGGTGCACAGTTTGAAAACCAGTGGCTCAGCAGCTCCCTAAGGTCTGTGTCTCATTCTGAAATTGAATGAACTATGCCTGATCGGAACCCTGCGCTTGGAGCCGTCACTGAAAGGTGATTTAATTGGCCAGATGACAGTACTTTGAACTCAAAACTGAGCCACTGCGCCAGTGGTCTGAGCCCCGTTCCCTCAGTCGAAAGGCTGATGGCAGTTACTGCAGGGCAGACAGGGAAGGACTGCAGAGCCTTCATCTAAGAAGGACAAGCGCGGCTCACCTCGTTAATCACAGACTTGTCAGCCATTTGTGTTCACACCCTAAGTTGGAAAAATGAGATGGAGCCCTGGGACACTCCCTGTCTTTTTCCTAAGCAGGGAGGGACGTGGTTGAAAAGAAAGCAACAACGGTCTCCAACCCTGGCTGGAGCAGATCAGTCTGAACAAGGCTTGAACCTGCTGGGTTTTGAAAAGCGGCCTGGATGTGGCAGATTAGTGACAGTTCCTGTACTTTCCAGGTCAAATGCAAATTCCTCATTGCGTCGGCAGCTTCCTTCCCGGGCCTAACATTTGGGAACTGCTGATGGCTAAGTTGTTTCCGGGTAAATGAACCCCTGCTTATGAAATGGTTCCTCAACTGCGGTAAGAAAGCATGAGAAGGGGAGGCAGGGACCCCATCTCCTTCTCCCCATTTCTGGCTGCCTCCACCTCCTGACACATATGGGACTTCCTAGGACAGAGGAAAACACCACTGCTCTGCTCTGCTCCAATTCATGGTAGAAGATGTTTGGCCTGTGTGACACTGGTATGTGGTATGATCTCACGAGAGCTAGCTGGTCACCATCCACCCCCACCCCAATTTCAGGTGAGTGTCCAAAGGGGACCACAGTCTTGGCATAGGCTCCACAGATGCTGGGGTGGCTCAACGGCTTAGCCACAATGCAAGTTAGATCACAATAACTGGATTTTTAAAAAAAATTCTAATTGTATTTTTTACCGTATATTTGATTCTATATTGAAAGGTAAAGGAGTCCACTGATAGGTGAACGGATAAACAAAATGCGGTCTACCCATACAATGGGATATTATTGTGCCTTAAAAAGGAAGGGAATTCTGATGCAGGCTACAACATGGATGCACCTTGAGGACATTACACTACGTGAAATGAGTCAGTCAGAAGAAGACAAACACTGTATGAATCCACTTATATGTAGCAGTCAGAGTGACTAAAATCATAGAGACAGAGAGTGAATGGTGGTTGTCAGGGAGGGGTCCGGGAAGGGAGGCATGGGGAGTTGTTTAACGGATAGAGTTTCAGTTTTGCAAGATGAAAAGAGTTCTGAAGATGCATGGTGGTGATGGTTCACCGTCAGTATGAATGTACTTAATGCCACTGAACTGCACACTTAAAAATGGTTAAGATGGTAAATATTATGTTATGTGTATTTTACCACAATTAGAAAAAAAAAGGGTGGGGGGAGAAGGAGACAAGGTAGGAGCTGAGTAAAAGAGAAATTCCCTTTGCAACTTTGGCTAGCGCATCACCCAGACCAATGCCAGTTAGCAATTCTGAATAGCTGCCCCAGAAAACGCCACTGTGGAGCTCCACGCTTTTCAAGCCAAACTGAAGTTCTTACTTCCGCAAGCATCCAGCTTGGGCCCTCAGTGTTTGGGAACATTTTTGAGGATCTCATTCCGGCTGACAGCACAGAAGAGGGTACTCTGGCTGCACCCAGAAGGCACGTACCTGGACGGGTAGCCGGCCGCACTGATCCGGATGGTCTCCAACACCCCGCATGCTCTGAGCTGCTGCACTGCTCTCTTTGGGTCAAAGCTGCAAAAAACAAGATAAGCAGTGAGCAGCCACCTGGCAAAGAGGAACCGGGAATAGGAGAGGAAGAAAGACAACCTCTTCTAGGTCATCAGGCACCAGGCACACGAGCCATTTCAGCATCTCAGCTCTGCGCACACTGTATCTCACCCGGGATACCCCTCTGCTTCTCTGCCTCCTTGAATTCTGTCCACCCTCGGAGACTCATTCTTGCCTCCTCTCCAGAGCCTTTATGATTTCCATCCACATGGGTGTCTGTCTTAATTCAATGGCTGAAACATTTACACTGGGCACCACAAACATTATGTGACACAGGAGTTAAAGGCGTGAGTTTCGAGTGAGGCAGACCTGGGCTTGAATGGTGACACGGCCACTTACTTACTAGCTGTGTGTGCAATTTGGGGCAAGTAACATATAACCCCCTCCGGCCTCAGTTTCCTCACCTATAAAATGGGGATAATAACAGTACCCCCTTTATAAGGCTAGTGTGAAAAGGGAATGTAATGACCCATAAAAGCAGTTAGAATAGTGTCTGGCACAACATAAGGGCACACGTATTGTTAGCTATTATCATGATAGCTGCTAAGAATCACACAGATGAACTTGATCTTCCCGTCTTTAGAGATAGGAGACACATCTCTAACAACTCGCATGCCCTACAGTGCTGAGCCTAGCGCTGAAAACCCAACATTTACTCGAGCATGTCCACTGAGAAGGATGCAGAATAAAAAAGGCAGACGTGGTCAGACTTTCTAAGAGGACCCACACTTGCAGAGGAAGGAGGTATACAGAAGTCAAGACACCACAAGGTAGTATGTGATAAAGGTGGTGAAATTGCTGAAAGAAACCAGGGGGAAGGTGTTGAGGTTGGCTCGCGTTATCCGGGAGTCTTCATGGAGAAAGAACGAAGCTCAGCTAGAATTAATCATGATACGACTTGCTAAGACTGTTGCCCCACTCTGAGAAGGGATGAAGAACAGACGCTTCCTTTGTTCCCGGCTGCTCCGCAGCCCAGCTAAAGCCACGGGCAGGCCCTCCAGGCTCAGTCCTGGATCCTGGGGCTCATGCTGGCTTCAGCACACACCTTGGCCAGGCAGTTGGGCAGCCTGCTTGCCCTGCTGGGTAAATGCAGGGGGAGGCATCTTTACCTCTAGAACCCCACTGGGCAAACTCTCACACTTGTCTGCCACGCTCCCTGACAGCCCCAGGTGTTCTTGTCCCAGCAGGTGGACCCACTCAGGATTCTGGAATTATGCAGGAAGATCTGGCCCGGGGGTCTGCCACCTCTCCATCGGAGCCTCCCTCTCGTCCTCCCGTCTCTGTATGACCTGTTCAGCCCCTAGTCCTTGTTGCTCTCTTGTGCTGAGTTGCACTTGGGGTAGGGATGCAGAAATCCATCAAGGCAGGTGGTGCCTGCGATGGCTTGGGTCAGCGGGCACTTGGCAGTGGGAAAGCAGTGGCCATTTTCCAAGTGGCTGAAGACCTCGAGCTGACCTTAGCTCCAGGCACACTCTGTTCCATGTCAGTTCTGGGGCGCAGCGGCCCTCGAGACACCCACGCTCTGCCCCAGGCCTGCACCCACTTTGAGCTCGTCTCCCCTCTGCTTGCCCAAATGCCATCAGCTTGAGACACCCAGCTCCTCTATAGTCGTCCTGATTACTCAGCCCCAAGGCACCCATGGCACTTTGAGTGTGGAAGCCACAACGGAGCCCTGCATTCTGCAGTCCTGAACGGGATGGTTGCTTCAGAGGAGCTTCATGATGTTCGGTACAGATCCACGCTCCTTAGCAGAAGGGTCTTACAGGACGAAAGGAAACACTGAGCCGAGCCTCTGTGTGCCCAGCCTTGCGCTGTGCCAGCCTCATGGCATAGTTGTAGCTTCTCTGAGGCCTCCCCACGATGCAGCTCATTTCTGGGGTCCAAGGAGGACCTTAATCAATAAGGGGTGGCAGTGATCACGCTCTGCTCTGTGGGACACAGGGCTGCTTGTGACCGCAAGTGACCCGAGGCAGCCCTGGAGGCAGGCTCCGCTATTTGCAGCTTCTGCTTGTCTCACCTATAAAGTGGTCAGCTAGGCCCTGAGTTAGGAATGCAAAGCGGATGTGCTTGGGCTTTGGGAAAGGTTTCCTGTGGACAGCAGGCCTCTCCCTTGAGGTACTCTGCACCTGCCAACAGCAGCCGCATTCTCCGGGCTGGCCGTCGACTTCCTCCCAGTGTTTGGCACAGACACAGGGTCAAATTCAATCGGCTGCATATGGTGGAGACGGGCAGCGTGCTTGGCAAGCCCCCTGAGACCTCTAGATCTTTGTGGGCTATGGGTCCTTGCTTCCTCCAGGCCCTGCTCCTGCTTCCTTGGTGGGAAATGAGCTGATGCGCCCCGAGAAGCCCTTCCCTCCTGAAAACGGCTATTCCCCTTCCCTGGTTACCCCCATCTTCCCCTGCTCTGCAGCATGTCTGTGACCCCCAGGCATCCTAGCTCTGGCCTAGGTCCTAAAGGCCGGAAGTGGCTTGCCACGCGCGACCCCCCCACTCCCACACAGCGTAGTTAGCGCACGTTCTTTGGGGGGAGGTGCTGTGGTCTTTTCTTGGAGCCCCCCCCCCAAGCTGGTCCCATGGAAAGCATCTGGCAAATACGTTTTGAACTCAGCTCTGACACTCTTTCCTGCTTCTTGCTGACCTCCACACCCCCACTTCCTTCCTCACACAGCCCCCCCCCCTTGGTAAGGGAAACAGCGAGAGCGAGGGAGAGAAGTGGTCTGGCCTCAGCTCTGCCACTAACAGCAGCTGGTGCACAGCTCACTCCCTCTGTGACGCCTTCCAACAGGAGCTGAGAATATCTGCCCGACTATATAATTCACGGGTTTGTTGTAATGATCAAGTTGTGTAAAAGAAAGAAATGCTATTCGGGGGAAAAAAAGGAAAGACTTTGTACAAAGAAGATACTGTCATGCTCTTTCCCTATTCACGCACCTCCCAGGGGACATGTAAAGGCAGCCAGTGTTCTGTATTTTCATCTTATCTCCCCAACATTAAAATAAACTCACGGTCACATATATCTCTCATTCTGCCTCCCTGCATTTGTTACCAGGTAACTGGGAGCGAAAACCAACCCTTTCACCTATTAAAACTTTGGAGGACCATGGAGTGCTCAAGCAACACCCAAGCCTGGACTGAAAAATGACCAAAGATATGCAGGGTCGAGCTGCTGAAATGCAGGGTTATACTTTTCCCTCCCAGCAAAACGTGCAGCTTCAGCAGAGCCGGAAGCTTGCTGGATGCAGGCAAGACTCCCCTGGTGTTAGAATTGGGCTCCACCTCAGCGGCCACATGCCGCGTAATTGATTTTTGCACAGGCTGCAAGCTCCCCACCCACTTCCTCAGACGCTGCGGCATTCTGCAGTCACACTTCAGGAGCCTGAGCCTCTCAGGATTGCCCACTTCTGAGACCAGTGGACTGGCCACTAGGAAACCTGGCCAGCTCATCTGACGAGCCGTCCCAGGTTAGCAAACTCACTCCACGTCACCCCCTCCCTGGGCGCGTTTACTCATTCCTTCGCCTCCCTGCTCCTGCACTTTTAAAGACCCACTGACAGTCACTTCTATGTCATTGTCAATTATTTGTTACTGGCAACTCCTTAAGGATAAAGGACATTTATTCACTGTCATTCCACTTGTCCTAGTCCCGTGCCCAGTGAGTAGTAGGTATGATAGAGGTTTTTTAAAAAACAAATGAAGCAGAGGAGAAAACTTTTATACAAGATATGCTATCAAAGCACTTAGTGAAGGGTAGGGTTTCCCCACTGGGGGTGAGTTTGTCCTCCAAGCAACATCTGGCAATGTCTTGTAACATGGTTAGCTGTCATAATTAAGGAAGATGCTACTAACATCTAGTGGACAGAAGACAGAGATGCTAAGCTTTCTACAGTGCACAGGACAGCACCCACAACAAAGAATTACCTGGCCCCAAATGTCAATAGTGCCAAGGCTGAGAAAGCCTGGTTCTTGGGAATGAAAGGATGAACCCAGCACTTTCCTTCTAGGATAATGTCAGTAACGTTATATAATTTAATCATATAAATTTTACCCTTCTCACAAATAATCCCCATCATCTCTTTAAATTCTTTCATTAGGAGAACTAATTTTTTTTTAAACCACAATTAACAGATGAAGAAATGAAACAGAGGAAATGACTAGCTTGTGATTAGCCAAATAATCGATGGCAGAGCCGAGACTAGAATCCAGGTTTTATGAGTTGGTTCAATATTCTCCCCTCTTTCTTTGCTAGAAGGAAGATTTTGGTCCTGAAGGCAAAAGGTCTTAGAAAAATGAGATATTAGGACTAGAAAGTCCCTTTCAGAGTCCCCAGTATCTTCTTTTTGGGAGGGGAGGACCAGCAAGAAAAAAGCACACGGCAGGCGCCAGGTTCTAATGAATGAGCTTTCCAAGGTCAAAGCTGGTTGGGGCCCAAGTCGGTACCCAACCCTCCTCCTCTGCCCCTGTTCTTCACACATAACCTAAGTCTTTCACGCATGCTGCTCTTTTAATAGCATCTATTCTTCCGGAGTCAGCTGGTAAACAGATGCCACGCTGGGGAGGCGGGGGAGACTGGGATTCCTAAGTGTGTCTCAGAAATTCGGAGGAAGGGAAAAGAGTGAACAATTGGCACACTTCACGGAAGGCTGATTCAATATTGTCTTCCTAACCTTTTCCAGCACAAGGCCCATCCGAGTGCAAGTCAAGCTTCATCAAATGATAGGAACAGCAGAAGGCAGTTCGGATATTCATTCTGAGAGTCAGAGTTGCCAAAATAAATTATTTCACAGAAAGACATGCTCGGACCAAAAAGGAAATCAGAAAGATGAGAGGAAAGGGAAAGTGCTTAAATTTTTTTAAACGATGTCTCCTGGCCAGAGGGAATAGCATGTGTGGGGGCTCCGAATCCTGGGAGAAGAGGCTGCAGAGGTGAGAGGTCATTCTAAAGGCTTAGGGCAGTATTGCCAGCAAGAAACAAAGTGAGTCTAAAAGAAGCTAATAACAGAAGGAAGAGAAAACAGACCAATGTGAGCAATTGTCAAGTAGAGTCCCTGAGAATGACTCTGGGTTTCCAGTTTGGTGCGTGGACGAGGTGTCAAGAAATGGCTATGACTTTTACTCTAACAGAGACCTGATAAAGGGGCCACCTTTGGGGGAGAGAGGATGAGGAGTCCGGTTTCGGACAGGTTGACTGGGAGGTGGCCCATGAAGCTGCAGGAACCCAGCAGAAATAACGGCCTGGAATTTGGCAGAAACCAGAGACAGACAAAAATATTTAAGCATCACTGCTAGAGATTTGGGTGGAATCAATCATGTGAGTAAGGACAGAACTGGGAGAAAATTTCCAGGGTTGGGTAGAGGCAGAATTTGGACCACAGTAGGCTGAGGAGTGAGGGAAAGTGAGCAAGTGCAGGTGACTCTGGAAGCTCAGCGGTGGAAGGGACGTGAGGGACACAACCATCTGGGTGAATTATATCACTCAACATGTCATCTGAGGTCAAGTTTCCTCAATGCAGGAAGCCTTCCCTGACCACTCCAGAGATTTTCCTGTGTCTCAATTGAACATTTGCTCTGAGATGCACACATGTCTGCATTTAGTGGCAAATTTTTACACGGTTCCCCATTAGATTTGAGGGTGTGCTTTCCTCAACACCCCTGTAAGCAACATGAGATGGGGGAAATGTTATCTTCTCAACCCCTTGAACCTCCCAGGCAGAAGACAGGAGACCTTGGTAAATGTCTGTGGGCCTGTACTCAGCATATAAACCATTTGGGGAGTGTAAGGTCAGCTATTCACCCTGCTGAAGACCACTCGAGGCTGTGCCTGCCTGTTTCCCCTGACCGCCTCCTCCTCAGGAGGCACGAAGAGGCCAGGCTGGCCGGGCCTGACTCCAGCCACCAGGAGCCGGGCCAACACCTGCCCACACTTACTGGAAGGGGAGCTTCTCGTCGTTGGGCTTGACACATCGGACATAGTGCGGCGTGGTGGCGTTCAAGGTCTCCATGAGCAGGTGAAGGGAGGTTCGGAACTGGGGAAACAAAAGGCAGTGCCTGGTTATTCATTTATCTTTAATATTTTGTGGATGTATAACAAACACAAAGAAATGCCCAGAGACTGGCGGTAACAGTTCTTCCTACTATCGTTTTGATTATTACTGTTAATTCAGAAGGGCAGGAAGAAATGCAGAGACCTGGGGTCCGAGTCTAGCTCTGACCCTCCTGCCTTGCTTGATGACCAAAATCAAGTCCTTCCTGCATTTTGGCCTCAGGGGGTCCTCACACCAAATGGGGACAGACCACCCTTGAATGTGTCTAACTCGGTGTTGTGGAGCAAAGGAGATGAAAGGCAAGGAGTGCTACGAGAGATGACCACTGTGCCTGGAAGCCTGCTCCTTCTAAACTCGAGGCCCTGGAGCCTGGACGTCGAGCCCAGGCTTCCTGGAAGTGACTGCATTTACACAAAATGTAAGAGGCAAATTAACCGAGAGAGAGAGGTTAGTGGTTGCCAGGAGCTTGGCAGGCACTCTCATCTCTTTTCTTGGGAGACACTGGACATAACATCCCACAAAAACCCCACAACAGAGAGATCGTCAGTTTTCTGGTCCCCAGGCTTATTTAATCCTCTTCCCCAGACTGTAGAATTCTAGACCCTCTTGCCCCTCCCGCTAGGCATCTATGATGCTGTAACGTGGTCCCACCATGGGGATGAAATGCACTGTCTGGGGCTATAGTCAACCCCTTTCTCTCTCCCGTCAGTTCCCCCTAAAAAACGTTTCACAGTTTCCTTCTTCAAACAGCACAGAAAGGCTGAGCTGGGTGGCCAGGGCCGTGAGTGCTGAGGCCACCGTGGCCCCTACCTCTGCAGCCATCCTTCACCTACAGAGGCCAGCCCTGCACACGTGCCATGGCCCACATCGGTCTTCCATGAGCCCCAGGACTCACCTGGTGGCCCACGGTTTTCTTGTGCTCCTTGTTAGAGGCTTTCAGTTGGGGTCTGGCAGAGCGAATGTTGATCTTAGAAGATGAGCCCTTTCCAGATGCAGTGGGGGTGGGAACAGGCTCCTTGTCATCATGAAACAAGTCAGCCACCAGTGGGAACTAGAAACAAGCACAGGGAGAATACTGGAAACAAGACCATTTGGACTTTGATACTTAAGCTCTTTCAAAGTAGCTTTCCAATACATAATCTAGAGAACTGAAAGCACATGTCAAAACATGCACGCCAATGCCCATAACAGCCACAAAGTGGAAACAACCCAAGTGTCCATCCACTGAGAAATGGATACACAGAATGTGGTATGTCCATACAATGGAATATCATGCAACTATATAAAGGAGTGAAGTCCTGACACGTACTACAACATGGGGGCACCTTGGACACATGCCAAGTAAAAGAAGCCAGTCACAAAAGATGACAGTGTGTGACTCCATTTATATAAAATATCCAGGGAACAGAAAGTAGTTTAGTAGTTGCCAGGGACTGGGGGAGGAAAAAAGTGGAGTGACTGCTAATGGGTAGTTTCTTTTCTGAGTAATGAAAATATTCTAGAATTTAAAGTGGTGACAGTTGTGCAACTTGGTTAATTTACTGAAATTACTGAATTGTATGCTTTAAAAGGGCGAATTTTTGGTATAAGAATTATATCTCAATTTTATTTTCAGCATGAACAGAAGTTTATTAGTAAAAGCAAGTACACTTTGAGATGTAGAGCAGGCTGTTCCAAGAGAGGGTAGCAGCCTATATCTCAATTTAAAGAACAGAAGGACAAAAGTAACTTTCCCAGACAATCTTATTTAACCTTCACTTATGAAGATGGGCAAAGCTTCCTTTGTGGTGTGGTAGAAGGTGGCTATGTTGTGATAGAACTATGCTGTACTAATGTTTTCCACACTTATTACGGGATCGTATAAAGTTATTTAACTTAGCCCTGAGTCATAATTTCTTCACCGCTATAATGGGGACGGGAATGGACCTGCTATTTCTGGGGTTGTTATGAGACTAAAGATGACTTGTGTGTGTGACCAGGGTGAAGATCAGGCTGCACACACAGGTGCTGGTGATACAATGAGTCCCAGCCCTCAAGACACTCAGTCCTGTGCCAGCATCCCTTGGGGAAGTCAACGCCAGGCTGTGTTGTGAGGCCTCTGCCACACACCCGCCAGTGGGAGAGGGAATAAAGGGAACACACAGGCTCCATTCATTAACCCTGAGCCACTTCCAACCCCATCAGCAAACAGGCTCAAACGTTAGAGCCTCAGACTCGAGGCTCTGCTCCTTCTAACCCCTGCCCCTGGCACCTTTCTCCCTTTAACCCCCACTGACATCAGGGTCTTCACATCTCCTACCTCCATGTCTGAAGGCTCTGGTCTACCTCCGAAGGCTCCACAAATCTGATCCCGCTCTCTCCCTCTCAGATAAAACAATCACGCTGGTCACCTGGCTGCCCCATAAACCACACCTGTGATTCCCGCCTCCACACCTGTGCTCATGGTGTTATTACCTGAAACACCCCACCCACTTCTCTCTGTTCATCCCCAGAGGCGTGCCTGCATCCGCCACGACCCTTTTCCAGATCACTCCATCCACATACGTCTGTCTCCCCCAGCTCAGCCTGTGCCACCTTGGTACCAGCTGAGGTCTGTGCTAGGCCCTGACCCCCCTGCTGGCTGAGCCTACGGCCTCCTAGCCTCCCTCTCAATGGAGGATGAGAGTCGAGCAGGAGGTTAAAGGAGACAGTTCATGTAAGCATACAGGAGAGCGCCCAGCATATGAGCACTCAAACATGATCTAGTTTTATTACTTTTATTAGGGTGTATGTAGACAAAAATCTCTCTATACCGCAAAAGTACAGATCCCTGAGGAGGTTATATTTTTGAGCTGAACAGGAAACTTAGAACCATAGAATTTTAGACCTGGGAAAACCATAAAGACCAACTCGAGGTGGCAGGTAAGGACAGAGGGGCTCAGGAAGATGGGACCTACCAGAACCCTGCTTCAACCTCCATTACTCCGGCACCAGGCATGGCAGCCAGCACTGGCTCTCACAGGGCTGTTAGTTAATGGCTGAGCCATGGCTAGAACCCTGGCCCCTGGATGCCCAGGTCAGAGCTTGTTTCAACATACAGAGGCACCCTGGTCATTCACATGAGCAGTATCAAGGGAGGGGAATACAAACAGCTTTCAGACCTAGTCTCCGCGGCATCTGTACAGCACCCTCCTTATTGGGGGCTTTCCGGGGAGCCAGCGTTGATCCCTGAAGGTGATCCCTTCCCAGATCTGGTGGTGGCAGGAACAGGGTCCTTGTCATCATGAAAACATTAAGATTAATTACATAAAAGGACACCCCATGCAGCATTCCTCCAACTGACAACATCCTCTGAAATTCATAGCAGGAAATGTAGGCTAAGGAAAGCTTAAGGCTCAACACCATCTTCACATAAGGCTACAGGTTATAAAAGGAAGTGAGAGCTGGTGCTCTGATCTTGTCCTGCATATAATGTCCCAGACCTGTCACAAGCTCAGTCCCAGTTTAACTGAGTATTTACTGAGCATCAAGCTAATAGCTCGGGAAGTAGAAGAATCAGATAAAGGATAGGTCCACAATACACAAAATAATTCAATGGCATCAGCGCTTCGGGTGAGTATTTCAGGGGTCTTCAAGCAGTCCTAGAATGGCGTCAATACCAGGCGACACATATGGGCCTTGTCACATCAGCACCCATGGGAGGTCCTGCTCATCCCCTCCTGCAACCAGACATGACTGACAGTACAGAGCCTTGCTGTAACTGCAAGCGTGTGATGTCTCGACATTAGTACATTGCACTGTCTGGACAAAGGAGCAAGATGGCACTGGTGGCACAGAACTGTTCCAGGATCTGGGTGATTTCATTAGATCTGGGTGACTTCATTCATTCAAAGGCAGTTTCTGCAACCTTATTAGGTAATATGCTTGAGTTGCGGGGATGTGACTGAGGGTATAAAACATGTGGTGACCTTCCCCCTTCCCCTTGGGGCTTTTTGACATTTGACCTCCCCTGGAACACACCTAGTACCATTGGCAATAATGTAAAGGAATTTCCCATGCGAAACTGGGGAGACACAGAGGCCTTGCTCACTGAGCATCCCTCAGTGTGAGGACCTCTGATATTCTTTGCATATTAGGTAACATGTATAAATTTCGTAGATCAAAGCACACATTTTCACCAAAGCTGGAGACCCGACCTGTGCAGAAATACTTCACAATCACAGAGGAGTAGAGTGAGTGTACTCACTCACACGTACAAGGGTGTGATGGCTGATGCGCAAAACCAGCATCAGTGCTGGTTACAATTATGACTGTATCTTCTATATCAAGTATTTTAAACGAAAAAGAAGATACAAATTACTTCCTCCTACTTCATTCATAGGTATTTTCAGTTTACATGTTTTAGGAGTCCAATTTTAAAGTCAAAATTAATTATACACAAGTATTTTGTTCTCCACCACACATTAGCTAGCTGTATGGATTACAAAGAAGTCAAACAATTCCGCGTGCATGTGCATACATGCACACATGAGCTAGAAAGTTCCACTCTTCATTTTCACAGACACAACCGGCCATCGGCAGCATCTTTCAATTTTACTGCAGTGATCTACATGCAGATAGAATATGCATGATTCTTCTACTCCATGGCCTGAGTTTTACAATAGGTTCAGTCTAAAAGTACCAACTAACGACCTTAAGGCCAATGACCGTCTCTGGTAAGCAGCTCCACATCCATCCTCACTGCTGGCTACTCTGGGGCTGGAATAGGCTGACGAAACTACAATTACCACTAGTAAAGGCTCCCGAATTCCTGAGTAAAGCACTACCTGCATCCCCAGCCTGGGGCCTTGTTATCAGACTTGGAGGGTCACCCTAATGAAATCATTAAGGATGTCTCCCTGTTTCAGCTGCCAACAGGTAACAATTTTGCTCCTATTCTCAGCATCTTTGCAATGGGTCCTTTTCCTTTCATGCATGGTACTTCAAAGTCATAAATATTTTCTCCTTAGAAGGGAAGGTAATTAGGCTGGCAGAGGAATAAAGAAGACTCAGATATGATTTTTTAAATCGGTGGCAAAAATTTGCATGTGCCAACATCATAAAAATGATACTTTTATTAGTACTGGACTCCACGTGCTTTCAAAGAAGAGAAAGTAAGTATTAGCTCACTGAATGTCAAGGCTAGATGGATGGGTTCATTCATTCATTCACCAATGCTTACTGACTGCCAACTACGTGACAAATACTGTGTTACGGGTTAGGAACACAAAAATGAACAAAAACAAGTGTAGCTTCTTACATATCATAAGGTTTATGGTCTAGCTCAGTAGGTGAACTCTGATCAATGAACCCCACAGTTAAAAACATAATGACAAGAAAATGAGTGTCCTAAAGGAAATAAACAATGGAAAATCTGTTATAACAATAACAGGGTGACCAATCAGGGGTCCAGGGCAGGGGAAACCAGGAACGGATTCTCGGATGAAGGGGTGTCTGAGCTGGTGGGTGAGTTGAGGTGAAGGAAGAAAGCAATTTATGCGGCAGAAGTAACTGCACATTCAAGGAACTAATATAACGCCAGTGCGGCTACAGTATTCACAGCGAGGGGGGACCGAGAAGGGCCAGCTCACTCAGGCAAGGCCTTGGGTGAGGATTTCGGTCTGTATCCTCAGAGCAACATGAAGAGTTTGTTCTGTTTGTTTTACATAATGGGAGCTAACGTGTAATGAGCAGTTAGAATGTGCCAGGCACATATGAACTCATTTGATCCTCCCAATGTAAGTACCAGTACATCTATTTCGCAGGCAGGGAAACTGAGGCGTAGGGCCCAGGATCACAGAGTTAGCAAGTGGCAAAGCCAGGACTTGCATCCAGACAGCTCAGCTCCAGAGACCACGCAACAATGTACTATGGAGAGGAGCTAAGACCAGCCATGTCTTGGAAAAGATTCCTCTGGCTGCAGCATATGAAGCTGTAGTCCCTGTGCGTGAAGCACCGTAGGTGCCCAGAGGAGTGGAGAGGCGAGGAGAGCTTCTAACCTAATGGGTCTCTAGGAGGCAAGGTGAACTATCA